AGAGCCTAAAATACTTTGTATTTTGACGACCGTAGACATAAGTCATTCTCTTTAGTACAGTCTGAAAATGTTACAATGACAAGGTTTTACATGCACTTTTTGATTTTACTGCCAATTGCTATTTTAAAACCTAATAGTATGTCCCCTAATATTGCTTCCCGAAGAAGAAGATGGCTAGGCATACGTAACACATGTCTTAATCATCTCAATCGATACAGCTTCAAAAATCTATTCGATTGACTTCCCCTACATACTTAAACAATCAACGCCTAACCTTAATACTATTCACCCTATTATACCACCGAACATGGGAGACAAAATGCAGAAATCTATGATCAAAGACAGCCAGTTGGCTTTTCCATATATTCTGTTTTCCCTGGCCATGTCACACAGCTATAAAGGAAGACGAAGCGAACTGATGCTAATCAAGTCCACATGCCCTATGATCGATAGCCGGATACTGCGTCTACCTTTATGGATGCCATAAGTTTGGGGAATCCCACACGTCCACTCAAAACACAAAGGAATCTATATTTATCGAAAGCGTGAATCAATTAGAAAGTGAAACAAAGATAACATATATAACAGTGATAATCAAATAACACCCTAATAAATAATAATATTGATGCTTAAATATGCAGGAAAAAGTGGAGATGGATTGGACACTCGCTGAGGAGGCCGCTGGGTGACATCGCGCGTCAGCCCATTGCTCGAGTAGAACCCAAAAAGGAAGCGGTGAGAGGGACGCCCAAAGGTGACATGGAGGAGATCGTGTGAAGAGGAGCTGAAATAGTATGGACTAACATGGATGCAAGTGAAAAATACAGCAGAAGACAGGAACAAGTGGAGACGTGCAGTTGAAGCCATATGTCCACTAGGAACCCAAGGGAACAATAATAATATAAAAAGTCTTAAATGATATTTTTTTGTTTTTACTTACCTGTATAGCTTCAAATAATCCAAGATTTGATAATAGTTCAATATCTTTCAATATTTGTTCATTCGATTTAACATCAATGCCCCCGGTTGTTGCAGAGCTTAAATCAATCTGACTCATTTCTCTCGACAGCTGACGATGATATTCATTAGGTTCAACTGTTGTTGACATCTTCTTCGTAGACGTAGTAGTAGTGCTATTACCGCCGCCTGTAAGGTTAGTTAGATTACTTTGACTTCCAGCGTGCAACAACGACTTTGACGGAGAAGATTTCAACGGGTAGGCAGAATACACCTTAGTTAAACGTGCTACTGACATACTAGCACTACCAGAGACTGTTGCATCTGTAATATCAGTTGATGTGTTGGTATCAAACGATTCAGTTCTACTGGACGGTGATGAAGTGACAGTACTGGCGTGTGAATCTGAAATGAAAATACATGTTTAGGAAACCACGAAAATGGCGGTGATATTGTGTTGAAAGCTGGCTACAAACAACCCAAAATTGTAGACAACCAATTTACGTCAGTGTTTACTTCCCGAATTGGGATCATGAGAAAAAAAAAACACAATAACAAAACTTAGCCTTGAGGAACTCAACAACCAATCACAGTAGACTTAACGTGTGCAAATATGATTCGCAGATATATGGCTTAACTTTCTAAGAAACGCGCTCACAAGTAGTATAGAATAACCTTCAGCGAGAAAACAACTAATCAGAAGATGTTCTTTCTCTGCTAACAACGCTAATAATAATGTACATAAAAATCTATAAATATCGCTTGATTTTCTCAATGAATGATCTGTTGCCTGGCCCTTGTCTTCTGTCGTTACAATATAACATAACTCACAATTGAAAGCGGAATACATTGAGTACCTTTGTGGTGGTGTGATACAGACAATGTGTGCCAACGAAATATTATTCTAACATATTCCCGCACTTCAATTCGGCATAAGCAACAGAATACGATCGAGGAATCAGCCTAACGAACATAGTCTCTAAAATCCTAGGCTCAGTAATCATGAACAGACTAAGCCGAACCCGGGAGGAACAAACGAGGGAAAATCAAGCGGGCTTTAGGCCATGTAGAGGGTGCATAGATCATATCTTCACTCTCCGACAGATCCTAGAACATAGGCACACTTTTAGGCGTCCAACAATTGCCATATTTCTTGACTTAAAGGCGGCCTTCGACTCCGTGGATCGAGAGGTACTATGGCAATGTTTGACTATGAAGGGAGTGCCAAGAAAGTACATTGCACTAATCAAGGCACTCCACTCAAACTCACGTAGCTGTGTAAGGGCTTATGGGGAATTGTCATCTGAATTGATAACAACCAGTGGTGTCCGTCAAGGATGTCCACTTTCCCCTTTTCTGTTTAACTTCATCATAGATATGCTAATGGAAGTATCCTTAACTGAACTTAACGACTTAGGAGTCGACTTGTTACCAGGGAATAGTCTTATAGAATTAGAATACGCAGACGACATAGTCCTGTCAGGGGAGGACGCTGACAAAATGTAGAGTCTTCTGAACACCTTGAGCAGCAATCTTTGTATGTTTGGCATGCGATTCGCCCCTGTAAAATGTAAGATGCTGCTACAGGACTGGACTACGTCAACTCCCAGCTTAGTGATAGGGAGTGAAGTGATAGAACATGTGGACCACTTCACCTATTTGGGAAGTTGTATCAGCACCAACGGATTGATTGGCAACGAAATCTCAGCACGGATCCAAAAAGCTCGAGCTGCTTTCGCTAACTTACACCGTCTCTGGCGTAAGCGTGACATCCGACTATCAAGTTACTGTAGGCTATGGACAGTCGCAAGATAAGTTGGTGTGAACAGTTTCTGGGGCTGAGCTTTTTTAACTTGCTCTGTCCCAGAAACAGACAGATAGCATAGCTGGTTTTCAGGTTATCTGAGCGGAACACCTTCCTATTTCTACACACACAATCACCAGTAAGCCAAGCAACTCTGCTCTCACACCCAAAGTGTAAATGACTTCCACCATGATGAAAACTACTTCCAGTCAAGACGAAATTTTTAGCAAGTTAGAACCTACAGTAAGACTAATTTCAACACCAATGCAACAATAATTTATGCTCAAAACGTCATCCAGTTATGAATACTGCATCATCACTGTGTGACATTTAAAATATACCTATCTATTATGGTATTACAATCTACCACCACAGTGCACAAGTTCTAGACTTACATGCATAGAGTCAACCAAGGGAATCAGATATATTTTCAAATATTGATTTTGTAGGAATTTTGTTTGATTAGAGGGTGGTGCGCACTGATGAAGAATCCCAAGCTAGTGCGAAACAGCTGTACAGTAATCCCTGGGAGGTTTTCCAATGGTTCTCTAATTGATGTCAGCTCATGATGAAATCCTCCAAGTAATCAAATAAAAATCCCTCAGAAACCCAATATTTGATAAATTTGAATAAGGCATTTAGAAGACAAATTTCGCGGGATGATATCGTCATTGCTTAGTTTCTTTACAACCGCTTTACAACTAACATGGTTAACAATAATAAAATATTTTCATTTCACCAGTTTTGTCCCTATTCAGTATAAAAGTTTCCTAGTGAAATGTTTGTTCTCAAGGGCCCGAAAAATATGCACGAGTGACACAATGACGGATAAGATTCGACATATACATTCAGTTTTACTAGCTAATGGTTATCCGGAAAACTTCATCACTTGTCACAGTAAGGATAGATCACATCTAGAAAAGACAGCTTCTGTACCAAAGAAAGCTTTCTTCATTAATTAACTTACCGTTCAAGGGTGACCAGATTATGCAGTTGACAGCTCAAAGACTTCGGTTAGCCATCAAGTGCATATTCAACGCCGCATCTCTTTCCCTCATATCTCGAACATTTTAGATCCCTGTACCTACGATTAAAGGACAAAATTCTGTGGACTACACTTCAAACTGTATCTACAAGTTCACACCTGCAGCTGCGGTGACACCTATATAGGTAGAACCAATAGACTGTTCCAATGTCGTCGAAAAGAACATGTTCAAAAATGGCTACTAAATCATATAGAAAATCCTAATGCCAGTTATCTGAATAGAAATCCAGCATCATCCATTGCAAAACACTTATTAATGTCAAGTCACATAACTCTAATTCAAAGTTATTGAAGGTGATGGAAGCACTTTGGATTAATCACATACAGCCTAAATTGTGTGTACAAAAAACAATAGACTTCAATCTTTGCCTACCATGGACTGACTACTTGACCTTTTTACATATGATTGGTCATCAGTATGTACTTTTGTTTTTTATTTAACTGAGTAATTGTCATGAACTTTATTTATTTTACCATTGTTAACCCTGTTAGTTTTAAAGCGGTTGTAAAGAAATTACGAAATGACGATATCATCTCGCAGAAATTTGTCTTGTAAATGCCTTTTTTCAAATTTATCAAAGGGGTTGATTTTTTAAAATTTTCTCAATACTTGATAATAAATTCGTTAAAAAAAGAGTCCCGTCGCTGCATCAATTGTTTTGATTTTCCATATGCCCAAATAGGAATTCTCCTTGAATACGTACTGGCTTGCTTAAATCGTGTGCCAGAAACTACGGCCTGTCTCACATAACAATAAATATATGACTACATATTAATATACAGGATATATATATATATAGTGCGTCTGTGGCACAGCGGTTAGAACGCTCGCCTACCATGCACATGGTCCGGGGTTCAATCCCCGGCCACAGACGCACTCCTTAACCTCGCTAAGCCAGTAATAGAACTGGCAAAGAGGGAAGGTTGGGCATGAGGCATGAGGCAACCCGATCCCGTAAAAGTAAACACCACTGCTACAGAAACTTCGAGCCTCTAGCTTGAAGCCCTATGTTCTCTGGGAACGTGAAAAAATTATATATATATGCTTGTCATACAACCAACCCACTTACTATCGGATTTCACTTTCACCTGCCATTTGAATACACTGAAGTAGCTATCAGATGGCCATTGACTGAACAATTGCATTTCAGTTCTAGCACCAACTAACAATAAACCATCTCTTAACCAAGCCGCTTGTTTATGTCCTCCACTGTGGCGATGATGCTGGCGATGCTGAGGAATAGGCTTCTCCTTTGTTACATCATCTAATGAATAAGATTTCAACTGTTGTTGTTCAGGATCATTTGACGATGGAGATGAAGGCAGTGTTCCAGGATAATTAGCTGTCATAATACGTGAACATGCAATTGGTTTCCAACCAATATAGACTTCACCAAGTGTCGTCATCAGTGTCGGTTGATACAGATGTCCTCCTCTCAGTTTACTGTTATTTTTATTATGATTATTATTATTAGATGTAGTAGTAGTAGTGGTAGTATGTGTGAAATTAATATTTTGACAGACAGGTGCAAATACAAAGATTTCGCAGTCAATGATCACAGACAGTAAGTGTCCACCGTCTTCTGCATTCACCCAATCCAACTGAATCGATAACTAGTCAACACAATAAGAAAAACAATAATAATAACAATAATACAAATAAGTAATGGTACAAAAAACAAATACTCGCCAAAGACACTAACTAGTGGTTGGAATTCATCGGCTGACCAATGACTTAGTGGTCTACAAGCTAGTTCGCCTTGTAACTAGAAGGTGCTGGGTTCGAACCCCCCCACGTGGTGGGTGGGTGTGTACTTCTGAAGATTTCCAAACTAGGGGGAGGAAACAGCTGTCCAGTACTCCCCTAGTGCTGGTTTTCCAACGGTTCTCCAATCGATGTCAGCTCATTAAAAGCAGGCGGTTGTTTCTCGATACTCTCAAGAACTCATCGAAAAATTATTACTATTGTCATTCCTTTGTGGTTACGAGTGGAGTATATCACCATTTCAATGTGTTCTCTGAGCGATGCTCCATAAGTTTTCAGTCATCCCAACCACCAATCATTACACGATGCCTTCCACTATATCACACCACCTTGAGAGTTATAGATATAATGGAGAAGATTTGTAGCTCAGGTGGATGATTTTCATGTGGTTGTGTTCTCTGAGCTGGATAGTTAATTTGCAGAGCTTTCATCACCCTACTAGGTGACATCTTCAGCGCATACTTCAATCTGTTGGAGTGAGCTTTTAGATTTCTCCACGAGTTTATTAATCATCTCTCCTAGTGACCACCTTGAAAGTGATTGGTTGTTTTTGTGTGTCTTCACACCCTCTAGGCTACTTCTATTGGAACTGATTGTTTCTTTCACTTGAACTTTGACCCTTTGTGTGTGAGGTTTCTTTCTTATCGGTTGATAAATTTTGTCTATTTCGATGTGTCTATTGATTGATGATTCACTGGAATACCAGGCGGGTTTCTAAAAATTCTCTAGCATTCTTGTTGCTTCCTCTGTCTAATATATGAACGTTGTCGCACTCGAATTGATGTTCATGGTTGTCTGTATGTAGTGATATGAGGAAGTGGATGTCATGTCTTTTGACGGCTAGCTTATGTTCGTGGATACGAAGACGAAAAGGAGTATTGCAGTGATTTCTGAGATGTCCTTTATATATGGTAAGACGATTTTCTTTGTGCTTTCCTTGGGGCTTTTGGTTTGATAGGTTGACTTGGGGGTATATGTCTTTTGATGAAATTTCGTGGATATCCATTTTTTGGGGAAGACGTCCATGAGATATCTCTCTTCAATTTTCCTTAAGGTGGGAGTGCTGCAATGAGTCCTGACCCTCTTGAATAGTGTTTGTATGCAATTCCTTTTGTGTGTTATTGGGTATTCCAGTGAATCATCAATCAATAGACACATCGAAATAGACAAAATTTATCAACCGATAAGAACGATACCTCACACACAAAGGGTCAAAGTTTAAGTCAAAGAAACAATCAGTTCCAATAGAAGCAGCCTAGAAGGTGTGAAAACAAACGAAAACAACCAATCACGTCCAAGATCACCGATCAGGAGAGATGATTAATAAACTCGTAGAGATATCTCAAAGCTCACTTCATTAAATTGAAGTATGCGCTGAAGATGTCACCTAGTAGGGTGTTGAAAGCTTCGCAAATTAACTATCCAGTCCAGAGAACACAACCATATCAAAACTTCAGAGTTATGCCCAACTCATCGCTTGCTTTACATTCAGGTATCACTGGAGGGTCTGGTTAGCGTATGATGTCACGCGACGGAGTCTGTAACGCGAAATTTATTTGGAAAATCCCTCCTGAAGCTATCTATAGTTACAATATTGGTACTTATCTGGATGTTTCAACTAACTAACTTTGTAATTATCATCCACCATGTGATGTTCAATATCGAGCGAAGTCAGCTGGCTGTTGGAAATGCTTTCCGTGACGCACGCGCACACCAAGTTTCTGACATATATAGAAGTAGAGCTGAATGACTTAACATTGATGCTGAAAATCAGAATTTTGTTGTTTCTGCTGAGGCGGCGTACAGAAGATTCCCAAACTGATTTCATTAGAGTGATGATGATGATGTTCTGTTTTGCCTTTCTGATAGTGGCTGGTTTGGACATCCTCTTATTCGTAACAGCACCTGTAGGTGAAAAGATGCTGTGTAGATAGGTGAAGGAAGGCGGGAACAGGTAGCTGGTGTGTTATGTTGTTGTTGGCATGGTCAGCGCGTCTATGTCCAACTCAACCTATTGGGAAACATGATATCTGACGATATCATACCATTACTCCCCTTTCAACAGTCTTGTCTGACAGCTATAACAAAGGACGAAAAGAAGTGCTACAGTGCTGCACACATCACTTGATTTGTAACCAGACGGATATTATGTGAATGCTAGGCTTATGTGAGTGCCCTAGTATGAATTTGACCAATAATACTATCGATTCGAAATGTACATCAATTGAAATAGTTTGGATATGTGTTACTCATGCCTAGCCGTCGCCTTCCTCGATGACGGGCAATGTTAGCTGACATAGACAGCTGGTGGTGGTCAAACCAAGACATGGCTTCATCAGTCAGTGAAATCCATAACAGTTAGTTTAAGCCAGCCAAACACGTAGGGAGGTGTAGACTCCCTATCTAGTTGGGGTCCTCAGGATAGTAAGAACCAATAACGGCTGGAGACAATCAATAATATGGCTCAAAATCGTTCCTTTTGACGGCGCACATGCATTCAATCATGTTGTCCTTCCATATTACTATTCTTTTTACTTCATATTTCTGTTTATTATCTCTCTTTAGTCTCTTCTCCTCCTTTGTTGTCGTATATGGTGTATGGAAACTCGAACTGGTGCACATCTGTGCAAAGTTCTATGTTCAGACCAGTGAGTCATCATGTGATTTCACTCAACGGACTCTTCAGCGTATCTCCCCATGCACCTCCATAACCTTCTAGTTACAAGTTGAGCTTGCAGGCCATTAAACCCCTAGGAAATAAATTTTCATCGGCGAGTCCGTGAATTTCAACTTCTGCTAATTCATACACGATATAGCGCTACTGACACTAGCCAATTTAATCGCTGGATAGTATTCGTCCTCACACACACAACCTGCTGGTCACGACTTCCCACCTGATGAAGAGTCCCTAACAAGGACGAAGCAAACGCCTGGGAGTACTCTCAAGTTTCCCAATGGTTCCCTGACCAATGTCAGCTCATGACGAAATCCTGAAATAACCACTGACATCTGTTGTCAAATAATCTACATTGCACATATTGTAGCACGTGCTACTGATAAGATTCGTCAGTAGTACATAGATATTCATCGACATAAAAACGTCAAATAGCACGGAGATACATTTTATGTCAGAGAAAGCAAATGATACAGCGCTGTAGAGATACATGGGAGATGTGGAAGGAATACAAAGAAACACACACAATATGTAGGAAGGCCAGAAGCAGGAGAACACGGAAGATCTGTGCAAATGGTGATTTGAAGATGAGGCGTACATAATTTCATTATATGGAGATACCAAATTTCAAATAAACATTCCTTTGACCAAGTCTCTTGTCTTCTACCGTTAAAATATAACCCCCCCACACACACACACTTAAATAACTAACTGCATAGCTTTGAAGTAGTGCGTCGGTGGCACGGCGGTTAGGACGCTCGTCGACCATGCACATGGTCCTGGGTTCGATCACCGGCCGACGCACCCCTTTACCTCGCTAAGCCAGTAATAAGACTGGTAAAGAGGGAAGGTTGAGCATGAGGCTAGCAACCCCATCCCGTAAAAGTAAACACCACTGCTACAGAAACTTCGAGCCTATAGCTTGAAGCCATATGTTCCAATGGGAACGTGAAGTGAAGCGATGAAAAGAGGGGAATAGAGAGGTTTCGCGTGCTCTTCGGGTTGTGAGGGCGATTGTTACTTCTCGGCTGCCCACACCGTGGAAGTTGGTTGCGTGACCGCAGGGCCCAGGGGACAACTGCTTGAGGACGGTCACACACGGCCTGTTTTTGTTTGTTGTTTTTCATTTGGTGTGTCTCAGTAGCGTATTTATCACTTCTGCCCTGTGACACGGCAGCAGAAAGCGCGGTCGTTGTTAATCCGGGCCCCGACCGATCCGGCATGATATTTTGTGATTTATTTGAAGTCATAGGATTGGATTGGGTAACTGCTTTTAGTCTAACCGCTATCCAAACAACCTTCCTGGCATGGTAGGACCTGCAGGAACATAAGTTCCAGCCAGTATAGCTTGTTGGGTCATTGCGGCGTTCAAGCCCGACCACCACGTCAAGGTAGCAGCTTTCGGTCGGGGGACCTCTTGTTACCGCCTGATGTCTTTTCTTAAAAAAAAAGCGCAAACATCACATATCGTAAGTAAAAAGCTTTGATGTAGTTGTTAGAATTTACCTCATCAAGATTATTGCTGCTGCTATTGTTGTTATTATTCTCCTGAAATGGAAATGCAGACGTAAACTCAATAGTATCTTCTAGTATCCATTCACAACCGCCTAAAATTAACAAAAATACACATATATACACATACAGTTGAATGCGAATACCAATCATTTTGAAAGAGAAATTTAAAAACAGGACAGCAACAAAAAGGGAGGGCTTTAGTAGGCTTAGGCTTCATTCAGGATGAAAAATCTACTGAGATGGATGATAGCTAACAATCAAATTAGGCGCCTCTTACCTTGATAATAATTCCTATCTCATCACATTACTAAAAAAACAAAGCGAATTCAGCGAAGAATATCTTTTTCGATAATTCGCTCTTCTCGCTCTTCAATTATATATATATATATATATGCGTTTGTATACATAGAATTACGCTGTATCTTCAAAACCACCCCTATTTCGCGTTCGGGATTAAAAATAAAATTGCCTAATTTCGCCTCTTCCATATGCATCTACCAGTTTAACTGTTCCTGTGGAGCCATTTACATAGGCTGTACAATTAGGCATGTTTCTCGTCGAATTTCCGAACATCACCCTGCCTCAAGAATTCGAAATATTTATTTCCCGATATAAATTTAAAACAAACAATAAAGGTTAATAATGCAGGATAACTTAATGAATTCATCGAATTTCGGTAGAACTCTTCGTCAGCTGAATACTTTACATACACGGAAATATATACACTTTCAGAATTACATCGGGAGATATAGGACTGATAAGCAAATGGACTACATTGAATTAATCTTGCAGAAAGACAGGTGCGAATGTTTTTTCCAGGTCATGTTCAATAAGATAAGGAGAGAGAGTATGAGAGATCAAAATTAAGATAAATTGCATTATGCTTCAATTACATCACTTAGATAAACAATTAGACATTAGAGAATATAACAAGAATTGCAAACAGAGTAATATCAATAGTAATAGTTATGATAACAACGACAAAAATAATAATGTTCAAGTGAGTTAAGATAATCCAACTGATAAAGGATAGGTTTAAAACTTTTAAATGATAGTTTTAAAACTATCTTTTATCAGTAAGATTATCTTAACTCCCCTCATCTATTTGAACATGAACTGCGAAACATTCGCACTTGTCTTTCTGCATGACTAATTCAATGTAATTTGTTTACTTATCAGTCTTATATCTCTTAATGTAATTTCAACAGTGTATATATCCGTGTATGTAGAGTAGTATTCAGCTGAGGAGTTCTACCGAAATTCGATGAATTCATTAAATCCTGCATTATTAACCTTTATTACTTGTTTTAAATCACCCTGCCTATTGGTTAAGTAAAGGACAAACAAAATCTATTCATATAGCGCTATTCTATGTCATCTTGTGGATACAGAACACAAGATTGATGTCAACGATGCGGCTTTCAAAGTCATTTACTGTATACCTACTAATCTTAACTTCATCTAAAGAGTTCGTCTACTACACATTGCTGAGGCGCCTAAAGGATCCACATTAAGAAACCCAACTTATGTATCCAAAAGAAGCTGGTTCACACACCATTCAGACTCACCCAATGACAGCATCATACTACGTATTAAATCCGTTGTAGATTTCTGAATTCTATTGATTACTGTATCTACAGTTTTCTTAATCCCTTCATATTCAAATGTCTAAACAATTTTTACTCAGGTATATAAATGAAGCAAAAACGTTGTGTGAGTGAGTACCTTGATATGATTATGAGCAGCAATAGTTTGTGCTCGAAACGTGGTCATCAGTTAATACTAATGTACAACACTGAGTAATTCTATCAAAACAAAAATTTTACCCATAATGGAGTTATACCCACCCTACCACCACAGTGCCCAAGTTTTATACTTATATCAATAAGTTCACTTTACATGAAAGCTGTCGGCTGAAGCGATGTTGTTCTAGAAGGCGGACAATGAAAGCTTCGCAATTAAAATCATCAAGTCAGCTCAGAGAACACACAAACATACGATCAAAATCACACAAAAAGAGAACACATTACTTACCACTAGATTCACATTCATATACAGTCACATAGATTGTCCTACTACTACTATTACTATTATTAGTAGTAGTAGCAGTAGTCGTAATACCTCTACCACCGTCGTATAATTGTTGAGTAGTATACGCTACAGCCAAACGTCCACTATATGCACAATCCATATCCAATATAATAATATTAGGTGTAGCAGTCATTTCCAGACTAGTGTTATTATTGTTAGCAGTAGTAGTGTTGTCTTGTAGTTGTAATTCAATACAACTAGACATTGATTGCATCAGTGGCATTTGCCATTCATCCCAAGTGAATAGACTGATAAATTTGTCTTTAACTATATATTTGAAGAGAAAGAAGAAAAAATTATTTAAATGAACAGGGAATAGATTTCTGAATAATTCAAAGTTCAAAAACTATTGAATGTTTGACAGGAATTACTAGTAAGATAGTGAAACGTTAGCCATTCATATACGTATATATATATCTTCAAGAATTAGTTTGTAGGGGTTCCGTTTGTTTCAGGACGGAGTTGTCTGGAGTTCTAGTGACAATTCGTGACCTATTATGTCCACTCAGTCGGGAGTGAGCTTATGGTTTTCAACGACGATATTGGTTGGTGGTCGTGCTAAAATCACGAATTGGCAGAAGTTAGAATTCATGGGACGGCTATTGAATCAGGTCCAAGTGGCTGAATGGTATACGAGCTCGCTGGCCTTGTAACCGGAAGGTCCTGGGTTCAAAACCCGGTGGGTGCGTACTGCCGATGAGTCTGGAACTAGGACAGAACAGCTGTCCAGTACTCCGTGGTTTTCAATGGCTCGCTAATTGATATCAATCCGTAGTCTAACCTATTATATTATTCCGTTGCATTCCGAGTGGAGCACGGAGATTCAACAGAGCATCCCCATTTTATCCTGATCTCTGTCTGAATTTCTCTTTAGCTCATCCCACGATTGCCCATAAGCTTTCATCTCCTCTCCACACTGTCTTTTTTATGTCACACTAGGACACACGCCCAACTCGTCTTTTCCTATTCAGGTTCCACTCGATGTCACTCAACAGTTTGCTTACTGTGTGTCTGATTTATCTCCATTTTCTTCTGGATATTCCCTTAACCAGCGATTGGTCCTTGATTGGTTCGTTCTCAGGCCTTCTTGGTGCTAATTTTTTCTGATCTTCGATATGGAGCTAACGAAGAAGTCAGCTGTTGATAAAAATCTACAGAAATTTGTTAGAAATGCTTTTCACGATGCGCTGGTCAAGTTTCTGACCCACATAGATGAAGAGCTGAATAACTTCAATTGGTGTTGAAAATCCGAATTTTGTTCTTTATAGTGAAGTGGAGTGCTGAAGATTCCCAAACTGATTTCAGAGTGATGGAGGTCTGCCTCGGCTTTCCGATTCTCGCTTAGACATATTCATCCGTTTCGATTACCTGTATTTAAAATGATGGTGCTAAGATGAGTCGAGCGAGTAACCTCTTTCGAATTTCTTCCGTTGATAGTAATTGGTGCTCGCTGTTGTTGTTGTTGGCTGGTTGGTTATCTTCATCATCTCTGTCTTCTATGTTCATCTAGAGTATTGTCTTCGCTGCTAGCCTCTTCAGCCAACTTGTTAGTTTTCGCCTGCAGGACTTCGAATTTTTGTGAAATTAGACATAAATCGTCCGCCAAGTCCAACTCGTAGTTTCTCATTCAGGTTCCAGTCGAGTGATAGCCTGGCGCACAATGACAGTCAACCATCTTCTCACTGTGTGTCCACAATCCATCTCCATTTTCTTCTGGATATTCTCTTGTCCACCAATAAGTTCTTGATTAGTTCGTTCCCAGACCTTCTTGTTACTAATTCTTTCTGGCTGGCTGGCCCGTCATCTGATCTTCAGTATGGAGCCAGCGAAGAAGTCAGTTGTTGATAAGTCTACAAAAGTTTGTTAGAAACGCTTTTTGTGATGCGAACACCAAGTTTCTGATTCATATAGAAGAACTCACTGATGAAAATCCCAGTTTTGTTCTTGATACTGTGTGAGTACAAGAGATTTCCAGACTGATTGCATCAGAGTGATGATGGTCTATTTTGCCTTTCCAATTCTGGCTGGTTTCGGCATCTTCATCCGTTCCGACTATCTGTATTTGAAACGATGGTGCTCAGATAAATGGCATGAGTGACTCTCACAAATTTCTTCCGTTGATAGTAATTGGTCCTTACTGTTGTTGTTGGCTGGTTGATTGGTTGTCTTCATTACCTCCATCTTCTCTACGTTCACTTGAAGACCTATCTTTTCTGCCAGCGTCTTCAGCTAGTTTGTTAGTCTTCACCTGCAGGTCTTCGAAGTTTTATAACATCGGACATAAATCGTCCAAGAAGTTCAAATAATCTACGGTCTTCTTAATTGTCCAACTTATGCCTGTATTCAAGAGTTGGTTCGTAGGGATTTGATTGGTTACAGGATTTCATCATGAGCTGACATTAGTTAGAAAACCATTGGAAAACCTGGGAGTACTGGACAGCTGCCTGTATTCTCACTCCCTTTGCCCAATCTGACGCATTGTACAGTTGACAACAATTAGTAATGTCATTGGTGATAGTAAGCGAGCAGCCTTGTCTTACTGTTGGTATTAGATGGTTGGAGGCAATCGGCAGGAAGCCTTGGACCTAGGTTTCGTGCTAGTTGGCACTCACCAGTCAGTAAGGTGTATCTGCAACCAACTTGAAGGAAATCATTTCCCTACTGATATTCAAACCCGCGTCACCCAGTGAGTACTGCTGTCAGAGACATTACCACTGAGCTATTCGGGCTCGCGATTGACCTCCTGTATGACTGTAGTGGGTATTTTGATTGGACACTAGTTACTGACTAGTGTCCAGTCAAATTACCTTATCTTCAATGCTTTATTTGCACATCATTTGCAGCAAATTATTCGAATATCACCACACTCGATAGCTTGTTGGATTCTGCACAGTGTTGTTTGACATTATTCTCACAGTTCCCTTCTTGTTCGATTGCTTTTTTTCCAGTGCCCAAAACATACAGTTAATTTTATGAGTTCGTTTACTGATATACTACTTATATTTGATTATAAGTAGCACTCACCACAGTATCACAGAAAGGCTTACCTTTGTCAGACACTGAATAATCTGGTGTATTCGATTCACATTTCCAAAATCGTAGACAACCATCAGAACAAGCTGAAACAATTAAATACGGTGGTGGAGCGTTGAATGTTGACAGTGCTGCCCAACTGACATGAGCTGCTGACACTTGAGCACAGATTATTGAGACACCCGATGGAAGATTCAGCTTACAGTCACATACCTATAATTATTTAATTTTTTAAAAATATGACATTAGATTGATCGGAAAATGTCACAAAGCACCATTAATCCATGAATTCTATGACTCTTTGTCTGTACTTTATCTGATTTCTTGGAGTACGTGGGTCAGGAAGAGAATTAGTGTTTGAGGCTCGTCAAACGCGGCCTATTTGAAATGATTATTGGAGTTGTATCAGTTTAAGATTTTAGCGCAGGATATAGTCCACTGTAAGGTAAGTCAGGATGAACAATTCTCAGGATCCACCTTTACTAACTCCCACCATTCCGGAGGCCAAAATGAGATTAGCTTGCTTCCTGGTCATCTGTAGGAAACACCTAACTACTGTTACACCCCTGCTCTCCAGGGGTACGAATTTACCCCCGGAACACCCAACGGCTATCCAAACGACCTTTCTGGCATGCTACGACCTGCAGGAACATAAGCTCCGACCAATTTAGCTCATTGGGTCATTGTAATATGCAAGCCTAACCACCAGGTTAAGGTAGCAGCTATCGATAGGGTTATATCGTGTACATTGACTGGTTGCTGTTCGCAGGAATAATATTTGGCGTACTTAAGTGTCACGGTTTGAAATCATCGATGAAATATCAGCTCCTTGAGCAAATGCTTCGACGATGTCTGATTATTTAACTTAAAGTAAACTGGAGGATGGTGACTAGCGATGGAAACTAAATCCAATCAATTAAGGGGAAAGTCCAAATCGAATTTAAAAAATTGCTGATACTTGTTGCACAAGAAACAGGTGGCTTTCATGGTCCAAGTGGTCTAGTTGATAACGCTTCAGAGTTTGAAACGATGGGTGCGCTGGGTTCGAGTCTCAGTGGGTACACCATTATCACTCGCTGTGGAGGAATGCAGGTACATCCAGCTGATGGGTGGTTTCAAATAGGACGAAATGAGCATCCTGGACATAAGTGCTAGTCACCATCCAAGAACTTAATGTGGTTTTTCGTTTAAGAAAAGTAAATTAATTGGTTACAGGATTTCTTCATGTGCTGACATCTGAAAGGAGTTCGGAAATCTTCTGCACTCCGCCAGGAAACGGTAAGGAAGAATAGGCAGGAAACATGAAAAAATAAATCGTTCGAGGAGAGGTTGGGTTATGCCAGCAAAAAGTCTCAACCTCCTTATGTAATAAGTCAGGAGGAAATAGTTTCATAAAAATCAACCGGATATCTGATGACCAACAGAGATTCGAAGTGAAACTGGTAGCGAGATAACAGAAATTCGATTTACTCCCTATCACACAGTGTCGTGAATATCAGTGTTCACGCAAGTCTTGTATCACATCTGAAACTGAAATCAACACAGCATGACATTTATATGACAAATAAGACAAGAATATATAAACATAAACTGTACGTACCTTTGTAGCCTCAGTGATTAAATTATTATATGTCGTTAAATTATCAATATCAACAACTTTCAGCAGACTCCCAATTGTTGCTGTTGTTGGTGTTGTTAGACTACACGATCGCGTATTAGTTGAAACACGTACACGCCACATTTCCATACGACAGAATTCAATCTACAAGAATAAAGGAGGAGAAGGGGGGTCAACGGATGATTGTCTGTGTAGAAGTTACATTGATTGAAATGGCTAGAACACGTGTTATTCTCATACCAGCCTAATCACTGCCTTCTTCGATGTACAGGGTGATTGATGGATGATTGCCGGTAAGATGAAAATCTCTCTGGATCACTAGAGGATAATCTCAGTATGAATTAAGAATCTGATCATCTCATCGTCTACTTTCAGTATGATTAGAACTGACGATAGGAGTAAACCTAGACACTGGACAGTTGCTGTATGAGGATAAATGAATGAAAGTAGAGTCCAATCACATGATAGCTGGGTATTATTCGAGCTGAATGATGACCTGATTAGTAATCGGTTCTCCTGATTCACTATGTAGTAATTCCCAAACTTACAGGGAGTACTATACAAAGCTGTTTTGTCCTAGTTTGAGACTCGTCGGTAGTACGTACCTACCCCGGTTGGCACCCGGGACTAATGGAGTGGACAAATACTCGCACCGATAACATTGGCTGGTGTCAGTCGCGCTAAAATCATGAATTGGTAGAAGTTAAAATTCATGGGACGACCAGTGAATCAGGTCCCAGTGGCTAAATGGACGATCTGAGAACCTGCCCTATAATCGGAAGGCCCTGGGTTAGAACCTTGGTGGTGAATGGGTACTACCGATGAGTCGCAATATGGAGTGAAACAGCTGTCAAGTATTCCCTAGTTGGTTTTCAATTCCCTATAACTAACATCAATATCCGTGGTCAAACTTGATAAACAAATAAAATCCTTACAAACTAAATGAGATAGGAATACTTAAGGCTCTTAAAACTTATGTACAACACTGCAGATTAACCTCACTAATTTACTAGTCGATTATAAGACCAGAAAATGAGAAACAGAGAACGTTGCGTATGGAGTTAGAATGACTCTTCCCGGTACAATCAATTCAATCACACTACAGAACCCTAAAAACACAGAAAACTCTGAAGTAAATGACTTTCAGTTACTGTGCTCCTAAGAATCTGTCATAGGGAATTGTACACACATGTAGTAAGGGATTCCAACGCCTTATCTTAGTCGGTAGCTAGTGAGCCCTTTGACCGAGAAGGGGTCAGTGTGAGGCTGGAAACCCTCCATCCCCCGTTGAAAAGAATTTCACAGCTATATGAACGATTAAAGCTCAAGCTTGAAAAAGCCCTGTATTCCACTCAGAAGGCGAAGGGATGGAAAGCGACTAAAATATACTCCTTAATTACAGTTTGTTTCTATTCATTGGAATCACACAAGGCAAACAGTTCTGATGAATAAAAAATATTTATTCAATGGTTTAATTCGCTTCATGATGACCCTTATTATTACTATAATTACAGTAAATTTTATGCGTCGGTGGCACAGCGGTTAGGTTTTCTATAGTTTGGTTTGTAAGGGTAAGATTTTGTTTTTACGAGTTGATCACGGATTGATATCAGTTAAAGAACCATTGAAAACCAGGAGGTATTGCACAGCTGTTTCGGCCCAGTGTAGGAATCATCGGCAGTACGTACCCATTGGGGTTCGAACCCAGGGCCTTCCAGTTACAAGGCAAGCTCTTATACCATTCAGCCACTGGAACTCCATTAAATGGCCAGCTCATGAATTCTAACTTCTACCAGCTTTATAGAAAATTATTCTGATACTCGCTAGTGACTTGCTACAGGATGGAGTTTCTCGGAGTTCTAGTGAGAAGTCGTGACCAGTGAGGTCCATCCAGATGTCACGTGTGTGGATGGATGTCGCACCAACGACATTGGCTGGTGCCAGTCGCACTAAATCACGAATTGATAGAAGTAAGAATTCATGCACTGCCCACTGAATCGGGTCCCAGTGGCTGAATGGTATACGAGATTGACTTGTAACCGGAAGGTCCTGGGTTGGAACCTGTGTAGTGGGTGCGTACTGCCGATGATTCCCAAACTAGTTGGATGAAACAGCTGTCCAGTACTCCAGTGCTGGTTTTCAGTGGTTCTCTAACTGATATCAATCCGTGATCAACTCGTAAAAACAGCGGTTAGGACTCTCGGCGACTATGCACATGGTTCAGGGTTCGATCCCCTGCTGACGCCCACCTGATATCAATGGTCGGCCTGCGAAATTCGGGCTACCGATACCACATGCTGAAAATTCTATAGTTGTACCAAAATCAAAAAAATACTGCGAAATTACAAAAACAACTCCTAACGTTAATTTGGTAGATGGTGACTAGCAGTGGAATCCAGGATGCACATTTCGTCCTTTTTGGGACTCATCATCTGGCCTCGAGGTCGAATATTTCAGTCCAATCACACTCACTGGGGACTGAAGGTACATCTAATGGTTGACGAATCCCGAATAGGACGAAATCTGCCTTCTGGTGGATTCCACTGCCTAGTCACCATCAATACAAATGACATCCATCGCGCTAATCCTTAGACATCATCGAAGCATCCACAGTATAAGCACCTGACATGTTAACTGAGGCCGAACATTTCGGTTCAATTAATCAATTAAGCAGAGACAAACAATTGCTTGATGAATCTGTCCGTCATGAATTTTTAACACTAGAATTTTAAAGCAGTCGATATTAACTGTATAATACGCTCTAGAAACATTTTTTTTAAAACAGCTTTATTTTTCCGTAAAACATGGAATTATACACGTCTGAGCACCTACTCTCCCCAGCATAAACAACATGGTACAGCCGACAGTGGATAGACTTCGGGTCATCTACTGGAAATTCTCTCACACTGCCTTCATATGGCGATTGTTCCTCATTATTTTTTTATATTTTTGATTACAAATTGATTCCGCACCGTATTTTGGTACAAGTATAGAATTTTCAGTATGTGATATCGGTAGACCAAATTGGGCAGGTCGACCATTAATATCAGGTGTGCCTCGGCAGGGGGTCGAACCCCTGACCATATGCATAATCGACGAGAGTCCTAACCGCTGTGCCACCTACGCACAAATAAAGCAGTGATCCGAAGATTTCCCCACTAGTAAAAAATACGCGTCCGACACAGCCCGATAAGGGATCGTCGTAGGCTTCAACACGCCGAAGTGTAAAGGCTACTCTCCACCTGGGGCTAGGGCATCCGTGATCACCCTTGTACCGGCACCAAACTAAACGGGGGAATAACAATTTCTGGTGTTAAAACAGCCAGACTGCTGGCAATCCCGGTCTAGAAAGGATCGAGTGGTGTATGGACCTGTTTAAGTTACTGGGAACTGCGGGAAGGTAGCTCCTGGCTCTGATCTACTGTCACGCAGACCAGACTTCAAGTTAAAGGCTTGGTTGGGATATGACCCCTTAAGACAAACGTCCAAATGGGTTTGGGCATCCGAGCAATATCCCGGTACTCACATAAACTCTTGAAACCGATCAAGTACCATCTTTGCGTCTTATTAATAAATACACAAAAAGAAAAGACAATAAGCGTAAACCTACCTCTTTAGTTTCAGTAGTCCCAATTGTAGAATTTATCTTATTATCATTACCATTCATTGTATATCGTGTCATACGTACAATTAAAAAGGTGGATAGTGAAGAATTTGACTCTAGGCAGTCAGAATCTGCCTCACTACTCCCCACTGGATTATCAGTAGTATGTAAGACAACAGATAATGGATTTGTTCTTGGCTTACAATTGTCCATATTCATCATAATTAATTGACTTGGGAAAACGTGTAACAGTAAGGTTTCTGCAGTATAAGATTGCTAAAAATAAAACCAGAAAGAATAAATACACATTAACCAAGAGCATTGACCATACATTGATCGCATGCATATATGAATATTATTATTATTCCCTTGGGTGCCTACTGGAACATAGGAATTTCAACAGCACATCCCGATTTTACCCTTTTCTATACGACTTTCGTATCCTCCTCACACGATAACCTCCCCATATCACCTTCGGACCTATGCTCAACTCACTGCTTCCCTCCATCCAGGTTCTACTAGAGGCCTTGGAGTGTGTGTTATCACACCATGATCTCCTCAGAGTTCCTTGTTACTTATTATTCTTTCTGGTCAGGCATCTGATCATCAGTATGGAGCCATCAAAAGCAGGGCGGTTGACGGAAGTTTGTATGAGCTTTATCGAAGCGCTTTTGGGGACATGCCCACCTAGTTAATTTAAGCGAAGTTTCATACAATGATTCCCTTTTATACACATGAACGAAGAAAGAAGAAACATTGGCACCCAGAATAATCTGGATCCATTTTATTTCGTCGGTTCTCATCAGCAGCTGCGTACAACCTGAATTCTTTAATGAAATAAAAAGTGTATAAAAATGTAACAAACTTTTGTCCATTAGCAAGCATATTGTCAGAGCGTCATAGTGAAATAAGGCATTGAGATTTACAGGGTGTCTAAAGTGTCACGACATGTATATATATATATATATATATATATCTTGGTAGAGAGAAGTTTCTTGAAAAAAAATCAATTGACAGTTGTGTTGTTGGGGTGGTAACAAAAGAAAATTAGTAATAGTTACGTAATTAGATAAGAGAAGATCAAAATTGCTGTGCACTTAAGGTCAGTTGAGAAGTTGATGATGTAATACAGTGAGCGGAAATCAAGATCAAGAAAAATTATCTCTTAAGAGAGTCAAGCGAAAAATAAAGGGGGGGGGAGTGAAAAGATAAGTTAACAAAATTAGAAAACAAAGAGTTACTAAGAAGTGAGTCACCAGGGTTTTGGACTTTTTGGAGTTCCATTAATTAACTATCCTATAAAATAATTAGGAATATCATGTTTTCCATGTTACTATTCTTCCTCTTTAACATTTCTGGTCATAATCGTTCTTTTAAATCTCTTTATTCTTTCTCTTTTGCCTTCCTTTGTGTGGTACACTGAATTTGGCGACTCAAAATGCTACACTTCTGCACAAAGTTCTGACTGACTGGTTTCAACAAAGAATTTCGCAAAGATGTGCACCAATTTGAGTTCCCACTGTCCATGTAGTGCACAAAGCAACAGAAGGGAGTTAAAAGAGATTCAAAGGAGAGTAATAAACAGAAATGTAGGGGGAAAAGAATAGTATTATGGAAGAACAATAGAGACTTATTGGCTATGATAATTCACAAAGAGTGATTTGTGACAGCTCCTACCTTGACGTGGTGGTTGGGCTTGAATACCGCAATGATCCAACAAGCTAAACTGACTGGAACTAATGTTCCTGCAGGTCGTACCATGCCAGCAAGATTATTAGGATACCGACTCGACTGAAAGCAGTTACCGTTATTAACAACTTGCTATGGGTCTTTGGGCAAAGTCGTACCTCTGGGGAACAGGGGTGTAACAGCAGGAAGGAAATGTTTCCCTCAGATGACCAACATGCCAGCCAGCTATGCTATCTCTCCACTCTGGAGAGAGGGGATTCGAAAAGGTCGACCCCAACAATTGTACATCCCGACTTATCCTACGGTGGTACGTAACTGGCGGTAAGTTAACTTATACGGAACCAAACCAAGAAACTAGTTCATACAAGCCGCATGTGACCGGCCTCAAGCAGTTGTCTCCTGGGTTCTGCGGTCACGCAACACTAACTCTCTTTCTGTTTCAGGTACCCGAAGAATCAATCAACTTCCACAGTGCGGTCAACCGGCAAGTAACAACTGCCCACACACTTCCAAAAGCACGCGAAGACCTCCTGATTAGTACAAAGTTCTACGCTGAAACCTGTCAGTCCGTTAGTCAGTTAAACGTAATACTCAAAATAAGGCTATCATTATTACTTTTTCTAGATTCCAGGCTTCTAATAGTAGATGTTGGCCTTATAACTGAAACAGCCTAGTTCCGATTCCTTATATTATCATGGGAAATTCACTGCTGAACAACTCCTAACTAGGAATGGAACGGTTGTTCAGGTCACCTTGACTTTTAGATCTTGAAAATTGAGTCATAGAAAAGAAATGTATTCAATGGCACCTTTCATGGGAAACATCAATTCTTAGTCATAAAAGGAGTATTGTTGCAAAGATATGCAGAGAAATACCCAGATTCAGATTACTTGTGAAGATGATGTTGCAGGGCTGACTAGTGGTCTAAGCCCTTCATTTTTCAGGTAAATGGCACATGGTGAGGTGAGAGGGGGGAGAAGGTTGAGCCAAGCTCCATCACCTACTTATTGGGTTATATTACCAGCTCATAGCCTAGTGAATAGAGAAAAACAAATCTATAAAACACAAAATAATTGAGCAGCAAAGAATATCCTTTTCGATAATTCCCTCTTCTGGCTCTACAATTATATATGCATGTTTATACACACAGAATATTCTAGAGCAGTAGTTAATAACAATATTAGTGTTTTTTAAAGTAATATCGATATGTAAAGTAAGATCACAATGGAATTACAGTTCATTAAAGATGCTCAAATAATACTAATAATAATAATAAAGATATAGTAGGAACTATAATATCAACTGAAATTAGGAAAATTCCACAAAAATTCAGGATCATTCAAACCTAGATGGCCAAGTGGGTAATGATAATGTCTGAAATAACTTCTTTTGGACGCACAGTTAGGCCTCTTAATATGGGTCGCAACATCCAGTCTCAGCAATATTTAGTAGTCGAACTCTTAAGGCGAAATTGAGATTTGTTGGTATGCGGTAAATGACTCTGAAAGCCTGGTTAACAGGGTGATTTTCAGAAATCCGACGGGAAAGACAGCTAACTGGACGGCCTATGCAAGTAACTGACTCACTCCACAGGAACAGTTAAATTGGTAGATACACACACATAGAACAGGCGAAATTAGGCAAAATAGGGATGTAGTTTTGAAGACACTGCGTAATTCAGCAGCAGGGAATGCTCTTTTTACCATGGTAGATGAAATAAAAATCAAACAAAAATGACTTACATCATCTTTCATTTGACTTGATGAATAGGGTAATTCATAATCCAACTGGATAATACATCCCAGTGTATCTGAATTCCGCGAACTATACAACAGTCGACGATGTTCCTCTGAATTCTCATTCATTGGTCCACTATTACTATTATTACTAACTTGTTTAAACTTTGAAAAGGTTAAAAATAAGCCAAGTTGATCATCGCCGCCAGCATTGGTGCTACTGATATTTCTACTAGTAGTATTAATATCAAGTGATGCGACGAATAAGGCGACAGGATACGATGTCGCTGATGTTGTCACCATACACGGGAACCATGCAATATGCCTAAATGCTAAACATGGATTATTGGAGATATTTGAAAAGTTTAATCTTGCTATTTCGGATATCCCCCCATGGGATGATATATTACCACATCCACTAATGTCAGTGTTGGTGAGTGAAGTCGACTTGATCAGATCTGAGGTTAACTCATCTGTATTGGCACGATTTAGGCGGGAATGTTGTAGGCAATGAGATTGGCAATTTGTAGATAATAGGGAAGATGTATACCCGGTAGTTAAAGGACCAACTGACGAAATATGCCATAAGATGATTTCACTGAAATTAATACTTTTACAAACAGCATTTCTTGTTCTTGTAGATGCATAGTGGGATGTGCTTAGTGCAAGCGGTAGCAGAGGATGTGGGACAATAGTACCAGTGTGGAAACGATGTCCACTTAATCGGGAACAACCTGATATACTGACAATCCATTGATAGCTAGAGATAAGAGAGAAGAGAAATTGTAAAAAAAAACACTGAATTGAATTGAATTAAGTGATCGTTAAATACAAAAAAATATTTGAGTAGTATGAATAGTTTGTTGAGCAAAATATATTGTTCATTATTATTTTATTACTAAAAATCGATCAGATACTTCGATATTGTGATGCATGTGGAGGTGTGGTTCATGACTGACTGACTGATCGGTTTCAACATAGAACTTTGCACCGATGCCCAGCAGCAGTTCGAGTCGCCACACTCCCTCCTTGTAGCAAACAAAGCAAGAGAAGAAAGTAAAAACAAATGCAAAATACAGAAGGTAAATACAGATATGAGGCAAAAAGAATAGTTATGTCGAAGAACAATATAGTTTTATGCGGTATTATAAGTCACAAGGAGTGGATGCATCTGCACCAGCCATTGAGAAAGATTTTGAGCCAGCCATATCACCAATTGTATCCAACCTTCATTGGTGTTTACTGTCCCGAAAACCCCAACCAGTCAGGAAGTGTACACCTTCCTACCTGACTGGCTCAAACTAACTGTTGTAGATTTCATTGACTGATGAAGCCGTGTTTTGCTTGGACCACCACTCACTCGTTTTCAACCTAATCGTAAGTTAGCTAACATTGCCCGTCGAGAAGGGGATGGATGGCTAGAGATGCATGCGTAACACATATCCTAACCATCTCAGTCGACGTCTATTGATTTCATTGATTTAAGCCATTGACTCCCAGATTCAAGTCTGGCTCCACATATTTCATCTTGAGCAATTTGACTGGGTGGTGGTATCATCAGCCCTAAAGTTCAAACAACAAACATCCATACCTAAAGAATAAGGACCATAGAGTCTGAACGCGCTAACGACCTTGCACGCCTACCATTCATTGGATGACTACAGAACCTGTCGTTATTACACCCGCAGGGTTAGAATTAGTATGAGGGTTCAAGTGTTTTATTATTGTCTTTATTTCTCCTGGATGAGAGGGTTTCGTTGTTCCTAATATAGATGTCAGACTGTTTTGATAGTTATGAAACCTAACAGCTAATAATACCCTTCACTGTTATTGGTTGAAGTATTATTCAGTTACTTGTCAGGATAAAATATCATTTTTAATGTGTTTCACTATTATTAATATGTTACTTTGTCCCTGTAAATAAACTGCTTTTTATGGGAGAGTACGCGGCAGGTTCTGTAGGCATCCAACGAACTGTATACGTTCAAGGCCATTGGTGCGTTCGCATTCCGTAGTCACTACTTTTTATGTTTGCGGTGTGCAACAATAAAAGTCCTGCACGCTAACTACTCGGATTATTCAACGACGTACATAGAAATATTGAATTTACTATAGAACATGAAAATGATGGAAAGTTTCATTTCCTTGAGATCGCCACGCAACGCCTGCAGGACGGTAGGCTCCAGAGGTCAATTTACCGAAACCCAATATGGAATGCAGTTTATGTCCAAATAGCTGTAAACCAGCACTAGCAAAAACTCTGTTCTATAGAGCTAGCAGAATATGCTCTACGAACAGCTTTAAGAAACTATTAAGTTTATGTACAGAAGATTTCTAACACACTTGTAAATATTACATAATGTCGCTTGACACGAGACTCCAAATGGAATAAACAGTGCTCAGAAATTATACCTATACATATATACACAGAAAGTTCAAGTTTAAGCAAAAGTTTAAACTTAAAGCCAGTAGGTTCACAGCCTAAATTTTAACCTACCTAAAGCAACCAGTCCAAGTAACTTGTTGATATAGAACGCAAAAGCAATCATATATATCAGTTAGAGAACCATTGAAAACCAGTTAGGGAGTACTGGACAGCTGTTTCATCCAACTAGTTCGGGAATCATCGGCAGTACGCACCCCCCTCCAGGATTCGAACCCAGGACCTTCCGGTCAGAAGGCAAGCTCGTATACAATTCAGCCACTGGATCCGATTCAATGGCCAGCCCATGAATTCTAACTTCTACCAATTCGTGATTGAGCGCGACCCTAACCATTGTCGTTGGTGGGACATCCATCCACACACATGACATCTGGATGGACCTGACTGGTCACGACTTCTCACTAGAACTCCAGGAAACTCCATCCTGTAACAAGTCACTAGCGAGCATTGGATTAATTTTCTATAGTTTGGTTTGTAAGGGTTAGTTATGTTTTGACGAGCTGAATGGTATACGAGCCTGCCTTGTAACCGGAAGGTCCTGGGTTCGAATCCCAGTGGGTGCGTACTGCCGATGATCCCCAAACTAGGATGAAACAGCGGCTGTCCAGTACTCCCTGGTTTTCAATGGTTCTCTAACTGATATCAATCCGTGATCAACTCGAAAAAACAAAACTAACCCTTACAAACCAAACTACAGAAAATCATATATATATAGAGTAGGGCAAAAAAGCATCGTATAAAACTGGGCTACAAATTCAGATTTCCTACACCTACATTACGTCAGTCAGTCACTTCTTCTATATGAGTCACAAAAACTTGGCCAGTGCGTCACCAAAATGCATTTCCAAAAGGCTACTGCACACTTTTATCAACATCTGCCTTCTTCGCCGGCTCTATACTGATGATCAGATGGTTAACCGGCTCTAGAAAGAATTATCAACAAAAAGAAAAACCTGGGAACGAACTAATCAAGAACTTATTGCTCAACAAATACTCCGAAAATGGGTAATGGGTGGGAAACACACGCTAAGGAGATACCGTTGGATGATATCGCGCTCAATGCAGGCCATATAGCTCGAGTGGAACCTGAATGGGAAACAATGAGTAAAGGACAAAATTAATATGTGCTGTTGAGGCCGTATGGTGTTCCACTCGGAACCCAAAGGAATAATAATAATAATATAAGTGAGCGAAGAATATCCTCTTCGATAATTTCCTCTTCTCGCTTTACAATTATATATACATGTTTATATACATAGAATATTCTAGAATAGTAGTCAATAACAATATTAGAGTTTTCTAAATAATATCGATTTGTAAAGTAAGATTGTGGTGAGAGATGGTTGCTAGCCAAATTGGTTGACAGTAATTGAGGTCAAAGGTCAAGATGGACAGGCGGATACAGTTAACATATAGATGAACTGACACAGCCACAAGAGATGCAAGGTTAACTTTGTGTGAGAAACAACCAATCAACAGACTGTATTTTCTACTAACATTAACCTACAAAAATGTACATCAAAATCTATAAATACGTGTTCATTTTCCATAATAAACGTTCTGTTGCCTGGCCCTTGTCTTCTGTTGTTACAAGATCACAATGGAATTACAGTTCATTAAAGATGCTTAAATTATAATAATAACAAATATATAGTAGCAAATAGAATATCAACTAAAATTAAGGAAATCTCTACACTAACAAATTGAGCTCATTAAAACCTAGATGGCCAAGGTAAGGACAATGTCTCAACCAGCTTGTTTTAGATTCATAAGTTAGATTTCTTAATGTGGATTCCAACAGCCATTCTCAGCAGTATGTAGTAGACGAATTCTTAAGGTGAAGTTAACATTAATTAATTCGTGTGGAGTAGATGACTTTGAAAGCTTCGTTAACATCAATCTTGTGTTCTGTATCCACGAGATGAGATAGAATAGCGCTATGAATAGATTTTGTTTGTCCTTTACTTAACCACTAGGCAGGAAGATGTTCAGAAATCTGACGAGAAACACGCCTAATTGTACGACCTATGTAGCCAGAAGAGGGGGAAATTATCAAAAAGGATATTCTTTGCTCACTTATATTGTTCTTTTTTGTAGATGTCTGAATGAATATTTTCGCTGTAATAATGATGATAGCAGTTACACTATCATATGACCCAAAGATATATTTATAACTAACGAGAAAAAGAAAAGAGAAAAGACTTTAAACTCACTGACTATGCTCTGAAACATCTATACGCCAATACCGTAATGATCCGTTCGTATGCATTGTTATCATAGCTACATGTGAAGAATGCTGAACACGTGATTCAAACATTGTTGAATTCAATTGAATCTATTCATAGTGTTATACAAAAATAAAAAATAAATAAAAGAAAGCATAAATTGAGTGAATCATATGGTGATAAAGGGAGTGCATCGGTGGCACAGCAGTAGAGTGCTGCACGCCGACCATGCAGGTGGTTCGGGGTTCGATCCACGGCAACAGATGTACTCCTTTTACCTCGCTAAGACAGTAGTAAGACTGGTAAAAGTGGGAAGGTTGGGGACATCCTATAAAAATAATCACCACTGTTACAGAAACTTCAAGCCTCTAACCTGAAGCCCTATGTTCCACTGGGAACGTAAAGGAATAAAAAAAATACCATAAATAGGCTGTGTGTTCAACACTATCTCTACAAATCCATATAGTTTGAAGATGAAAATAGGTTTGGCTTTTACACTTTTTATCGAACAGATTGTTGAATGAATTTCAACAAATACACAAAAAGTTCTGATGTAGACATGACATCCGGCTTACGATCGATCAAAGGACGTGCGTGCTGCGTGGCACTTCGCTTCATCTTCCACTTTTATGGCTGTGAGACATGCGCCAATTGAATGTGAGGCCAAGTTAAACTTTAAGCACCACTAACTACCAATCAGCGAACGACGTCGAATTATCCAATGAGATTCATGAACGTGAGTTCAATGTTGTATAGCGCTTGATTCGTTTCAAATGCGTGCCCTAACGAAGTTACGGTTGCAATTCGAGGAGGAGAGTGTTTTCCAGTATTGCCTGGATTTAGGGTTGCTTCGGAAGGAGAGAATTTTTTCGTGTGGTGGTGTGATGACTTAGCTTTAGCAGGTCAACTGATGGGGATATGTCCATCGTTGTGCAGTTTGTTTGAGGCGAGTTAGCATTAGAGAAGGTAAGCTGATAATTTAAATATTTCGCAGGAACTTATTTTGCAAGGTCACATCTCTCCTTAACGCAGATTTTGTATATTTGCAACTAGTGGGTCTTAAAACAGCCTATGAGGGCCACAGCTGCTGAGACGGAGAATATCCTCGTCTCAACAGTTCAATGGTATCAGCATTGCAGAGACATTGCATCATGGAAAATGGAGAAAATTACTTCTTTGTCGGGTGGAGAAGATATCGTTGTGCACGTCGACGAAACTGCGTTGGTGAAGAAGAAATACGACCGTGGTCGTCAGCGAGCCAACAATATTTGGGTAATTGGTTTGTACGACACCTCCCTCCGAAATGGATTCGTGGAAAGGATAGCAGATAGAAAGCAACTACTCTTATCCCTATTATTATTATACAAGACTTGTAAAATGGGGATCAATAATACATACGGATGAATGGAAAGGTTACAACTCTCTGTCATCTCTTGGATATATCATCATAGAGTGAACCATTCCAGTGACTTTGTCGATCCCATTACCAGGACGCATACAAATTTTATTGAAGGATTTTGGGGCAGGTTGAAAAATAGGATTAGGGTTATAAATGGATCACAAAAGGATATCATTTATAGTCATTTGGATGAATATATATGTATAGAATGTGGTGTAACTTTTCTATTGATAGTCCTATGCTTAACTGGGAGATGTTTCTCTCACATGTTAGAGAAAGATACCCTGAGTAACAGTTGTATGCCTTTTTTCCATAAATATACGTTTCCCTTTATCATAAATGCCCCTTTCATGTGATTGGTCGGTTCAAGGTCGTTTGCTGATTGTTTCTTAATGGTGCTGAAAGTTTAACTTTGCCGAATGTGGAAGACATGAGAAGGCCGGCCAACTGTCTTTCATCATAGGTGTCTTCGTTCTGTCTCCCGGTATGCTAGATGGTAAAACAGGATGAGCAATATTGAGGTTAGGCGTCGAGTATTAGGTAAACAGGGTAAGTCACTTGATGTCTAGACATCATCTTCCTCAACAGGAAGTATTAGCTGACATAGGATCGATCATATGTGAAAAGAGATAGTGATGGTCAAACCAAAACATGACTTCATCAGTTAATGAAATCTTTGGCAGTTGGCTTGAACTAGTCACGTAAGGAGGTGTAGACTGCCAGACTGGTTGGGGTCCCAGAGTTGCTAGAACCAATAGCTAGAGACAATTGGTGATATGGCTCGAAAACATTCTCAATAACCCCAGATGCATTCATTCTTTAAAGAATAATTACAAGCCATCGAGTAAAAATAACCAACCGTTTCGTCCAGTTTCGCGCTCTTCAACAGTGCCCACCCCCACAGCCTACCTTCACTACCGATAGACTTCAGAGCCTTCCTGATTTCCAATGGTTTACTAAGAGATATCAATTTGTAACACAAACTACCCGTCGAAAGTGAAACTATCGGGAGTGTTGCGCGTCATTTACGTACAATGAACTTACAAACCGGAAGACAGGTCAGAATTTACAGAGACCTCCCTCCACACATACACACACATCATTCACTAGTGTCAATACATATATATTTTCAAGTATTGGTTTTGTAGGGATTTTGTTCGATTGCACGGAGGATTTCATCATGAGCTGACATCAATTAGAGAACCACTGGAAAACCTGGGAGTACTGGGAAGCTGTATCGTCAGTCTAGTTTAGGACTCTTTAGCAGTACGCACACACTAGCGACAGGTTCTATTCAGGCAGTTAACCTGGGGTTCTAGGGTACAGCAGTTTGAAGATGAGGCAGTAACTCATCGAAGAAGACATTGTTGAGTGGTCACGCTATATCGTGAACTGGCAGAAGTTAGAATCCAAGGTCCATTGGATCGGGTCCCAGTGACTAGCCTTGTAACCAGAAGGTCCTGGGTTCGAACTCCTTTGGTGGGTGGGTGCTGATGAAGAGTCCCAAACTAGGCCGACGAAACAGCTGTCCAGTACTCCCTGGCAGGTTTTCCAGTGGTTCTCTAACTGATGTCAGCTCATGATGAAATCCTCCATGCAATCAATAAGCATACACAATAAATAATGATATAATTAATTTTTCAACAAACTCACTTCAGCCAATGATGACAATATCGGTTTCAATTGTTTCTGTTTAAATTGATCTAATATTTTAGTCGCAGTACTATTATTAGTAGTACATTTCAATAAGAATTTTGAAAATTGCGCAAAAACTTGATTCACAGCATACTTTAAAAGAAACAGATGACAAAAGATATCCAAATTATCTTGATAATTAATTGTCATCAAAGGATTTCTACTGTCCTTCTTCTTATTCACATGAATACTACTGAAATTGTTCTTGTTAGTAGTAGTGTGTAGGCTTTGATTCATTTTACTCCGTAAATGATCCGTTGTTAAATAGGTGAACAGTCTGTGTGAAATAGAACAGGCTGCATCCAATGGTATTGCCTGATGTAAACGTGATCGTACACTACAGGTGACTTGTGTCAATCGACCGCTCATATTTGGAATCAGCGTGAAGGCTGATTCACAATTGAATTTCGCATCATCACGACCAGCTGTTTCCCGAGGGATAGAAACTTTTTGAGTACGAATGCCTTTTGAATTGGGAACAGACATATCCAAACCGTGTATGTACCTGAATGAATTGGTGAGGGGAACTATTAAAAGAGCATATATATATATATATATATATGTATCTATGTATTAAAAGAAATCTTAGTGTATAAGTATAAAACTTGGGCACTGTGGTACAGCATACCTCCATTATGGATAAGATTTTATTTTGATAAAATCACACAGTGATGTTACACAGTAATATTAACTGATGCGACCACGTTTCGAGCACAAGCTGTTGCCACTCATAATCATATCAAGCCACTCACTCACACAACTTACTTTCCTTCATTTATATACATGAGTGGAATTGATGATTAGACATTTGAATACAAATCAATATAGGATAATGTACATTCAGAGATAATAATATGAGTGTTATTCATCAAATACAATCAGATGGGAAATAAGACGAGTGTTTTCATAGTCGTAATAAATAACTTGTTAGAATGTTGTGATGTTCGTGAATTGAAATAGAATTTTGAGATTATTTATTATACCCCTCTGATTTGACTGACTGGTGGTAATAAAGAGCATCTCAAACAAACTACAGACCTTCATTAACAGTTGTCTTCGCTCAATACTCAAGATCAGATGGCCAGTCAGAAAAGATCAGCAACAGAGATCTCTGGCAATGAGCGAACCAACACAGCAGGAACCGATCGTGAAACAAATATGCAGGAAGAAATGGAGATAGATTGGCCATATTCTGAGAAAACAAACAATCAAGTGACATCACTAGACAAGCCATTACTGGAGTGGAACCCGAAAGAGAAGCGGCGAGTTGGTCGTCATCGCAAGGGTGACTTGGAGGAGGTCATGTGAAGAGGAGATGAAAACGTGTGGGCAGACTTGGAGCCAGGTGAAGACTCTAGCAGAGAACCAAACGCAATGGAGACGCACGGCTGAAGCCCTATTTTCCTCTAGGAATTAAAGGAAACAATAATAATAATCCAAATTTCGGATAGAATGTGTGTATTTTCAGTAAACACCAGTGTTTAACTCCCCATCTTCTTTCCGTTTTATACCAAAATCTAACATTGGAAACTCCTCTTGATGACTTTCAAATTATTAAATAAAAAGAATGGCCTCTACTTATGAGTTGATGTGTTCGAAAAGTTTATTTGTCTGACTGTGTTATCCCCACCCCACATACTTTTGAATAAAATGCTTCAGCCCTTGCATCGAATTAAAAGGAATAAGGAAAACCATTTGAAAAACCCACATTTAGTCCTATTTTAGGAGTCACCAGCTGGATACACTAATCCTCCCTCATTTTGAGCGATTATTTTCTCACCCAGCTTAATCACAGTCAGACACATACCCACTGCCGAAGAGATGGTCCAGTGGATAACCCTCTTTTGCGATAGTCACTGAATTCCAGCCTCAATGAGAACAATATAACTTGCTAGGAAAAGCAAAGTAATCTAGCTGAAGAGTCCCGCAGAGGACGAAACGCGCGCGCTCGCTTAATTTCCTCTTTTTTTGTGATTATAGAAAGTTGACTTACCAAACAATTAAACTTCCATCAATCGGATGTATAGCAAATACAACATCTGGTGCATGTTGTAGTTCACCTAATAGCTTAAACACTGTTTGATCCATTAATGCTATTTGATCGGATAATTCAGGAGAGAGAATATTGTTATTCGCTGACAGTGATGATAGTGACGTTGAAGAAGAAGAAGAAGAAGACGCGTTATCACATGCTATAAAAAAGTAAAAAAAAGAAAAGCAATAGGTGGATATACCAACAAAAAAACATGATAATGAGGGAGAATAAGACATGCAAGCGAACACTACTGTTGTTTTCAATTAGATCTTCTTCAGGCTTTACTCTAATTTACATAGATTTATATATGAGAAATTTAACCAAAGACGGTGAGTTTCTGGATCAAATAATAATAATAATGTGTTAAGTGTTTTGAACGTCAGTAATAGCGATGATTACAATGGTAACTAAAATAGTAATGATAATAAGTTTTCTGTAGTTGGTTTGTAAGGATTAGTTTTGTTTTTTACGACTTGATCACGGATTGATATTAGTTAGAGAACCATTGAAAACCAGGGAGTACTGGACAGTTGTTGCACTCTATTTGGGAATCATCGGTAGTACCCACCCACCTATCAGGGTTCGAGCCCAGGACCTTCCGGTTACACTGCAAGCCACTGGAACCCGATTCAACGGCTAGCCCATGAATTCTAACTTCTACCAATTTGTGATTTAGCGCGACCACCAACCGATATCATCGGCGAGACATTCATCCTCACACTTGACTGGATGGACCTCACTGGTCACGACTTCTCACTAGAACTCCAGGAAACTCCTTCCTGTAGAAAGTCACTAGCGAGCATCAGATTAATTTTCAATAGTTGCTTTGTAAGGATTAGATTTGTTTTCACGACTTGATCACGGACGGATATCGGTTAGAGAACCATTGAAAACGAGGGAGTACTGGATAGCTGTTTCATCCTAGATTTGGAATCATCGGCAGTACGCAACCTGGTTTTCAATGGTTTTCTAACTGATATCAATCCGTGATCAACTCGTTAAAAATGATACTAAGGTTTATATAGGTGACGATAAGAATGACGAAGGTAGTAATATATGTATATGTATACAATTGGCAGAGTGGGCCCCCTCTTCGAATCAGAATACAAGAACATAAATTAACTATGAAAAGATACGATATCTATTCTTTCATACCAATGCATGTAAACAATTATGGACACCAATTTAATGGTTGGAAGAATGTACAAATTTTAAATACAAAGGAAACACCAAAAATGGAAGAGAATTTTTAGAAGCGTAGTTGATACTCAGACGAATCAGAGATTGGTTGCACCTTCAGGTTTCAAGGCTAGGGAGCTCGTAGACCACTTATTAGCCACTGGGGCACTATCCAATGGCCAGCTCATGAATTCTAACTTCTGACAATTCATGCACGACATATTGCGACCACTTCGCAATGGCTTCTTCGATGAGTAGCTATCCTCATCTTCGACTTGATGTACCCTACTGGTCATGGCTTCCCATTAGAAACCCAGGTTAACTGCCTACCTGAATAGGGCCAGTCGCTAGTGAGCATCAGATCAACTTTCAGGTACTGCTGAAGAGTCCCAAACTAGGCCGGCAAAACAGCTGTTCAGTACTCCTTGAAGTGGTTTTCCAATGGTTCACTAACTGATGTCAGCTCATGATGAAATCCTCCAACCAATCCAACAAAATTGGCTACAAAACCAATACTTTAGAATCAGAGATTAACAGATACACTGTTATTACAGATCAAATCTACCAACTAGTAAAAAATAAGCCCCACATGACAGATGAGTTCAAATTCCAAGTTAACAAAAATGAATAAAAAATACAGAAGTATATTAACATCCGATCACGGCAATAGCTGTTAGGAGATCCAATTATATGATTCACGGAGAAAGAATTCCAAGAAGTTCACTTGATATTAAAGCTTCCACTGAAAGCTTCGTGTGACACAAAATCCAAGACCTACAAACGAAAACCGACAAACTGGTCGGAGAAGCAGCAAAGACAGGAATCCAGGTGAACATAGACAAGACGGAGGCTATGAAAATAACCAACCAACAACAACAACAACAGCAACATCCACCGCCAATCACCATCAACGGGAGGGATTTGAAAGAGGTTACTTCATTCACTTATCTGGGGAGCATTGTCTCAACTACAGGAGGAACGAATGGATGACGATGTCAAATCGAGAATCGGGAAGGAGAGAAACACATTCATCAACCTGAAACCAATCTGGAAATCTTCGTCACTCAGCAACACTCAACAACAAAATTCGGATTTTCAATACAAACGTCAAGTCAGTCAGTTCTTCTATACGGATGGATCAGAAACTTGGCGGGTCACAAAGAATATTCCCAACAGCCTGTTGCAGACCTTTAATCAACAATTGTCTTCGCTCTATACTGAAGATCAGACGGCCAGAAAGAATCACTAACAAGAAACTATGGGAACAAACAAAACAAGAACCAATCGCCCAACAAATATGCAGGAGAAAGTGGAGATGGATTGGACACTCGCTGAGGAGGCCGCTGGGTGACATCGCGCGACAGGCCATTGCTCGAGTGGAACCCGAAAGTGAAGCGGCGAGTGGGACGTCCAAGAGTGACATGGAGGAGATCGTGTGAAGAGGAGTTGAAACAGTATGGACTAACATGGATGCAAGTGGAGAGTACAGCAGAGGACAGAAACAAGTGGAGGCGTGCAGTTGAAGCCCTATGTTCCACTAGGAACCCAAGGGAACAATAATAATAATAAGGATATTATCACTTAAAGATGTTTTTAAACTGTAGTCTATCGATAGTATTTGAAATAAAATAAACTTACAAATATGCACAGGTATCGCTAGAATTCTTGATATTGCATCCATCATAAATAATTCTAATTGAGTATTGAAACGATATTCTTTATTGTTGAACCAATGTGTTGTAAATCGACCAATATGTGATCTGAAAAGGAATAGGTGAGGGTGGGTTGGGGGGGGGAATAAGTAGAGAAATTAACTTTGATTGGACGCTATTATTATTATTATTATTATTTAACCGCAGAAAAACTTGGTACAATGTGGAACCAAAAAGATGCGCCACACAATAATGAAAGAACAACATAGATTAAAAGTGAAAATATAAGTAGAAAACGGATAAAGAACTTCATCTGGAAGGAAAACAGTTATGTTTAACAAGTTCAAACAGTATTCGTTAACTATCATCAGGAAAGGAAGAAAGAAGGAAATTGCAACACGTTCACCATTGATTACGATTCTTGGCCATATCCGATTACGTTTCGAGGCATCGATACGAGCTATTTCGTGGACCCCAACCAGGGAGTCGTGATGCACCAACCGATGCTAATCTAGCACAAACTTCCTTCATCCCACGACGCCACGTCATGGACTGACCACCTCTCCACCTTTTCCATCCCTAACCCAGGGCTGGCTAGCGAACAGAGACCTGTACGGAGTCCTCTGGGATGACATTTGCAGCACGTGTCCAAGCCACCGAAGCCAGTGTTTGCAGATGACGACACTCAACAAATGGTAATCTCCATAGTGTTCAAACACACGCCACCGAACCTCAGAATTACTCACGTGATGAAGCCGTCGAACGGAAGCAATCCTGCGGAGACAGCGATGATCGAACACGCAGAGCCGCCTCACATCCTCAGCTCGGAGAGGCCAGGTTTCACAGGCATAGAGCAAGACAGTCCTCACCGAAGCATTGTATACCCGATCTTTGGTAGCCAGGCTAACGTCGCGACGGCGCCAGATGGGTGGCTCAAGTTGATGTATGCCACTCTAGCCTTCATGATACGGTTGGAAATCTCATCCGTCACTCCTCCGACAGCACTCACACAACTACCCAGACACATAAACTTATCGATAACTTCAAGCGGTTCACCTGCAAGAGTGAGTGCAGGTAGTAACTAGTGTCGTGCGTCTAGTATTTTCTTTGGTGTAGTCAAGTTTGTAATGTGGCTCATCGTCACGCAGCACTTAGAATTGTTGATATCAGGTGGTTAGAGGTGATCGCCAGGAAGAAGCCTTGAGTGACTTAGGTTTCGTGCTATTTGACACCCAACAATCAGATGGGCGTATCTGCAAGCTTGACGGAACCTACGCCCAGTCTGAGATTCGAACCCGTGTCATTAAGTGCTTAGGTAAGAGACGTTACTATCCAATAAAATGAAGATTTGTAGCTCCAGTGGATGGGTTTTGATGTAGTTATGTTCTCTGAGCTGGATAGTTGATGTGCGAAGCTTTCATCGCCCTACTGGACATCTTCAGCGTTGAAGTGAGCTTTAAGATTTCTCCGCGAGTTTATTAGTCATCCCTTCTGGTAACCCTGAATATGACTGGTTGTTTCCTTGACCTGAAGTTTGACTCTTTGTGTGTGAGATTGCCTTCTTATCGATTGGTGAATTTTGTCTACGTCAAAGTGTCTATTAAATGACGATTCACTGGAATACCAGGGTTCTAAAATTTCTCTAGTATTCTTGGTGTTTCCTCTATCTAATATTTGAACGTTGTCCCAGTCGAATTGATTTCCATGTTTGTCTGCATGCAGTGAGGCGATATGAGAGATTGGATGTCATGCCTTTTAACAGCTAGCTTATGTTCATAGATATGAAGACGAAGAGGACACCCACTTTGGCCAATGTGATGTATTTCGCGGTTGTTACAGTTTATTCTGTAGATGATGTTTGTTTTGTCTTCTTTCTCTGTTGCGTCTTTTGGTTGACACAGAGCTGGCTGGCTGAGTGAAGTTGTTGGTTTGTGTGTGACATCAATTCTTAAAGGTTTGAAGAGTCTTGCAGTGGTTTCTGAGATGTCTTTTATTTATGGTAGGGAGATTTTCTTTTCGTTTTCTTTGGGGGCCTTTGATTTGGTAGGTTGTCTTGAGGGTATACGTCTTTTGATGAAATTCCGCGGATATCCATTCTTTTGGAAGACGTCCATAAGATGTTTTTCTTCAATTTTCCTTAAGGTAGAAGGGCAGCAATGAGACCTGGCTGGCGCTCTTGAATAGTTTTTTTATACAGCTCCTTTTGTGTGTTATCGGGTTGTTGTTGTTGTAATTGAGTATTTGGTCTGAGTTGATTTTCTATACTCATCAAAAGAGTTACTATCTAATAACAACAATTTACATTGCACCGTGATGGTGAGCCACTTAGCAAACTTAGCTTCAGCTTACACCAAACGAACAAAAGACCAGACACATTAAACTAGTCACTCGCTAACCAGTGTCCAATCAAAGTGTTGACTACAGTCCTACAGAGATTAGTCGCGAGCCCGAATATCTCAGTGGTAATGTCTCTGACTGCAGCACTGAGTGACACTGGTTCGAATCTTAGAGTGGGCACTGTTTTCTTCAACGTTGCAGAAACGGCTGGTTGACTGGTGAGTGCCAACTAGCACGAAACCTAAGTCACGCAAGGCTTCCTCCTGGCGATTTCCTCCAACCATCTAATAGGGGTAATTTTATACAATAATATTCTCAACAAATGGTCTGCATCTCAATTCCTAGCATGGCTAACTGTTTAAGAGGTTATATCTGTCCTATTATACAGGCTACACAGGGCATAGAAAGATTGTTTATCGCTTTACAACTTGTGAAATCTTCGGCACAAATGTGATAACCGGTCAACTACCAAAGGTATATATGCACTGAGTACCACTTTGTCCCCTTCTACTATTTTACCACGGAGAAAGACATGAAAAGATTAGCTGACTTTGATCATAGGTGCCTGCGTTCTATCTCCCGCGTGAAGTGGTATAATAAGGTGAGCAATATTGAGGTTAGGTATCGGTCGAGTGCTAGGTAAGGAGGGGAAATCAATCGACGAGGCTGTGAAATTACATCGATTGAGATGGTTAGTACATGTGTTACTCATGTCGACAGGCGATGTTAGGTGACATAGGTCAGGTTGGAAAAGAGCGACTGATGGTCAAACCAAAACATGGTGGCACCAGTCAATGAAGTCCACAACAGTTAGTTTAAGCTAGCCACGTAGGAAGATGTAGACTTCCTGGTTGGGGTCCTCGGTACGGTGAAAATCAATGGTTGGAAACAATTGGTGACATGGTTCAAAATCGTTCTCAATGGCTGGCGCAGATGCATCCACTCCTTGTGACTATATTGTTCTTCGTTATTACTATTCCTTTGTCTCACACCTCTGTTTACTGTCTATCTCTATTATGTATTTCTTCTACTTTCTTCTCTCGCTTTGTGTGCTACATGGAGGGAGTGTGGTGACTTGAACTGCCGCACATCAGTGCAAAGTTCTATGTCGAAAACAGACAGACAGACAGACCACGGAGGAATAAACGCACCAATAAAAAGGACAAGACAGAGTAGCAACAAAGACTTACCTATTTGAAGAAGTCGTCGTCGTAGTAGTAGCAGTAGTACTATGAAGTGAACTAATTTCAGGAAAGTTATCCAATGGTAAAGAGGTGGTAAATGTAAATTGAGGAAAAGATAGATTGGCAGGAAAATTCAACTTTCCACCAGCGTCATTATTATTAGGTGTTGTTCCTTGATAATCTACTTGAATTTTTGACAAGGGATCAGTTAACCTGAATTGTTTGTGATGATAAAATTTTAAAAAAATACATCGATAAAAGAAGAAAAATAAACATACTGACCTAGTGTGAAGTTATTTAGACTGATGCTTACTAGTAGCAGAAACCACGGTGAGTATTTCGATCTCTTTGGGACTCTCTATCTGGATGTACCATAAGAAAAAGTTGACTGTCGCCATCCTTTGGTGTTTGAAACGATGCGTAGATCCGTACTGCTGAAGAGTCCGAAACTAGGCCGACGAAACAGCTGTCCAGTACTCCCTGACAGGTTTTCCAATGGTCCACTAACCGATGTCAGCTCATTATGAAATCCCGGATACTTATTTCAATGAAATATGCTTTTAATGAAGATGTGAGATAAGATTAAGGGATGATAAGAGAGGGGTTGAAAATATAAGTAAGTAAGGGGTGGTGGGGAAGTTATCATATGTTAATAGGTCAAGAAGGGAGGGATAATGACTGTGGGTACGAACTTCTTTTGAATGCATAGTACGGTTGATCTCTTACAAAAGGCATTTGAGTATATTCACGATTCCTTGACGGAGATGGGCTATCCGAGTAGTTTCGTAAAGAAACATATGAAAACATTGAAGAGAAAACCTGAGACTATAATTGCACGTAAAATGGTGACTTGTCAAGTGAGATTTTATTCCAAAGACTTTCCAGGTGTATACGAAGAAAGTTTTACGCAGCAAACCTGTTTGTCATTCTGTAACCGACAAGTGATAGGGATGTAAACGAAGGATAGGCTAGATAGTTTTGTCACATCTATGTGCATTTATCAATTCAACTCTGCTCCTGCAGTGACAGTTATGTTGGGCGTACTACTGGAGAGCTAAGCCAACCAACGTGTTACTGAACATCTCCCATTGTGGTGGTTTGGCAAAGGACAGACAAAAACAATCCGTAGCTCCATTTTGTCACATTTATTTAGTTGATAGTGGTCATGTAGTGAAGAGAACGAGAGCTTTCAAAGTAATTCATTGTATCCCACCGAATCTTTCCAATAGACTTCGTATTCGTCTACTGTACACAGCTGAGACACGCGATAGGCATTCGAACTATTAAACCTAAACTAAGTATTCACAGTCATTATCCCTCCTTAGGCCTATTAAGACATGATAACTTCCCCACCATCCCTTACTTATATTTTCAACCCTTCTCTTATCATCCCTTAATTTTACCACAACTTCTTTGAATGTTTCAACTAACTTTGTAATTATTATTCGCTCTTCTCCTAGGCTATACATCATCACCCTAACGTTTGCATATTATCTATTTGAAAAAGGTGTACAATTATAAGATTAGTAGACAAATCGAATAAAATAAAAACGTTACGTAATATTGTGTGAAACTTAATAGCATAGAATTTAATGTTGTAAAAAGGAATTGATTTAAAATGACAAGTGGAACAAGTGAAATAATACCGGGGACAATTAAAAGTGAGAGTGTGGTGAGAGCTGTCTACTAGCCAAATTGGTAGACAGTAATTTACGTCAATGTTTACGTTCTCAAGATTTGTCGTGAGAAAATATGAACAAAGACTGATTCAAAACCGACCACAGCAGACTTTGCGTAAGCGGATACAGTCAGCATATAGATGATCTGACATTCAAGAAACAGTCACAAAGAGATGAAAGATTCGTGTATTTATATCAAATGGATGGGAAAGTTTCAGAACAATTTCTGGTTAGGGGTTGAATTAATAAAAATTACAATTAGGAATTAGAATGCTATAATAAACAGGGGGATGGGTAAAACTAAAAAGAAAGATTAACTTTAAGTGAGAAACAACCAATCAGAAGACTGTGTTTGTTTACTTAACTAAACTATAATGGTGTACATGAAAATATATAAATATGCTTTGATTTCCTTAATAAACGATCTGTTCCCTGACCCTTGCCTTCTGTTGTTACAAGAGGAGTAATAGTAACAATTGTCTTAATAAGGAAGAGTATACAAATTGAATAGACAAAAATGGGAAATTGATAGAGCTAAAATATGATTGGGGATTACCATACTTTAGTATAGAGGGATTAAGACCATGAAAGTTGCAGGGGTTGAACGAACTTTTTCTGTACACAGAGATCTGGCTTTTCTGTTTCGACAGCCAAAGCTTCAGCAATACAGATGAGTCGGGTACGTAGGGATTTGGGTAAATTACTCTTTGCTTTGTAGATGACTGTTTATTAAATCTTTATGGTCTTTGTTCCCATTTATTTTCGATTTTTAACGCTTCTCTTTGTGATTGTGTGACGATATTGATGATAATGTGCTGTTTCATGATGTCATTTTGTTTGAGTGAGTCAAGGTCATTTTTGACCTTGAACTGTGTCTATGGGAAATGTTTGGTGCATGATCCTTGCTGACAGAGTTTTGAACCCATCTTGTTGTTGTTGTTGTTGTTAATATTCTACTTGATTCCAAGATACTTCTTACGGTTCAATTTTTGATTAACTAATTTTGTTCTACAGTACTTATTTTGTAAGTAGCAACATATCTGATCTGTATAGCTGCATAAGGGTAATGTTGAGGCAATTTCGCGTTTCTGATGTTATTATTGGCGAGTATAGAGCTGTGCTTTTGCTGTCGTTGGGGGCATTCTGTGACTGCCTTTAACTCAACTCAAAAAAGTTCATGTCAGCCACAGAGTAGAACGCATAAATCGGTTTCCTGTACGTTCACACCACAATACATCAATTGTGGAGTCGTTAAACTTTTGATTCCAGATGACGAGTCCCAAACAGGAATAAATGCTCATCCTGAAATCCACTGTTGGTCACCAACATCTTGAATAATTTCATATTAATCCACAAACATTGATAAAGATTTCGTGCTAGCAGCCGAATTGTTGACGGAGTTCAAGTATTCCCTTCTAACATACTAATTTTAAGAGAAATTCAAAAGTAGGGAGTGAAGTGATAGAACATGTTGACCACTTCACTTATTTGGGAAGTTGTATCAGCACCAACGGATTGATTGGTGACGAAATCTTAGCATGGATCCAAAAAGCTCGAGCTGCTTTCGCTAACTTACACCGTCTCTGGCGTAGGCGTGACAACCGACGATCAACCAAGGGACGTGTGTACTGCTCAGTAGTTCGCTCCGTCCTTCTCTATGGCTCTGAAACATGACCAATACGAGTTGAAGATATGAAAAGGTTGTCTGTTTTTGATCATAGACGTTTACGATCTCTTTCTCACGTTAGGTGGTATAATAAGGTAAGTAATGTTGACGTTAGGCGTAGAGTGTTGGGCAAAGAGGAAAAATCAATCGACGAGGCTATAAAGTTACATAGATTGAGATGGCTAGGTCACGTGCTGCGCATACCTAACCATCGCCTCCCCCGACGGACGGGCATTACTAGCTGATATAGGTGCAGGTTGGAAAAGAGTAAGCGGTGGTGGCCAAACAAAAACATGGCCTCATCAATCCATGAGATGCTTGACAGTTAAACTGAGTCACGTAGGGAGATGCAGACTTCCGGGTTGGGGCCCTCGGGACTCTAAGAATCAACCAATGGCTGGAGACAATTGGTGACATGGCTCAAAATCGTTGTCAATGGCTTACTCAGATGTATTTAGTCTCTGTAATCTTTCATATTCCTTTCTACCATTACTCATTCATTCTGTTTCACTCTTATACTTGTCAAAACTCAATTGATTCTCTTCACTCATCTTCTTGTCTACCTTTGTGTGCTATTTGGAACGTGGCAACTGGAACTGCTGCGCTTCGGTGCCAAGTTCTATGTTAAATCCAGCCAGCCAGCAACCTAAGACAATAAATCATTATTGATCTAATCTTCACATCTTCGCTGCCAGAAGACTCGTTTGCCATACGCCTACTTACTCTATCCCTGGCTTAGTCGACATGATATCCGGCTGGATATAGATCAAAGGATATGTGTGTACTGCTCAGCAGCAGCAGTTCACTCCGTCCTCCTTCATGGCTCTCAGGCATAGCCATTGAAAGTGAAAAACATGAAACAGCTAGCTGTCTTTGATCATAGGTGTCTAATTTCTATCTCCCGTGTGTGTTATGTGGTAAAATAGGATGAGTAACATTGGGATTAAGCGTAGACAGTCTTAATTAACGAAAGGAAATCAATCGATGAAGTTGTGAAGTTACATCGATTGAGATGGTTAGGACATGTGTTACGTATGTCTAGCCATCGCTTTCCTCAACGGGAAATGTTAACTCGCATAGGACTGATCAGATTGGAAAAGAGAAAGCTAGTGGTGGTCAAACCAAAACATGGATTCATCAGTCAATGAAATCCACAACAGTTAGTCTAAGCCAGCCACTTAGTAGGGTGTAGACTTCCTGACTGGTTGGGGTCCTCGGGATGGTAAACACCAATGAAGGCTGGAGACAGTTGGTGGTGATACGGCTCAAAATCGTTGTCAATGGCTGATACAGATGCATTCATTCTTTGTGATTTGGCACATCCAATCAAAGCACTTTATTGTTCCTCCCATATTACTATTCTGTTTTTTATAACTCTCTCACTGTTTTCAATCTACCTTTACTCTCTTCTCTTGCTTTTTGTACTACGTGGAGTGAGTGTGGCAACTCAAACTGCTGCAAATCTGCGCAAAGTAGTTCTACGTTGAAACCGTTTAGTCAGTCAGTCAGTCAGTCAGTCAATCTTCACATCCCGACCGATAGCTGCTACCTTGACGTGGTGGTCGGGCTTGCATATCGCAATGATCCAACGAGCTACACTGGCTGGAACTTATGTTCCTGCAGGTCCTACCATACCAGGAAGGTTGTTTGGATAGCAGTTAGATAAAAAGCAGCTACCCAATCCAATACTATGGTTCAAACAAATTCACAAAATATCATGCCGGATCGGTCGAGGCCTGGATTAACAACGACTGCGCTTCCTGCTACCGTGTCACAGGGCAGAAGTGATAAATATGCTACTGAGACACACCAAACAAGAAAAAACAAACAAAAACAGGCCGCGTGTGACCGGCCTCAAGCAGTTATCC